CCCCCTACAAGCTCCCTCCCCAGCTCTTCTTTTCAAGCCTCCTTTCCTTACTCCTTCCTTCCCCAACCATTTCCTACTGGGACTGCTCAGGGCCCACCCCCACCAGTGACCACTCCTACTCCTGCAGCTTCACCCTCGTCCTCCACGAGGGAAGAATCATCTAGAACGACTCCCTGCTCAGAGTCGGGTGTTTAACAGCGCGCTGAGTCTGTGTCACGGCCCAGTTGGGTCTCGAGGCTCAGGCCCCTCTCTGGAGAAGGAGGAGGTCCAGTACCTGCTCCTCCCGCATCTCTCCTCTGACTTCCCCGAAGGAATCCAAATACCAGAGCATGACGCCCCGGCCCCGTGACCCCAGGGCTCCCATCTCAGAGGGTGGGACCAGCGGCCTTAGAGGCTCAAACTAGAGACCTGAGGTCATTTCCAACTCTCCCTTCATCCCCCTCTGCAACTGATCCCCCATCAGATAGGGCCTCCATGTACTCTTGCATCCTGCTACTTCCCCCACTCCAGGGACAAGAGGCCACTGTCTCTCACCTGGATGAGCCTCTTACTGCCCTCTTCTTACGGCCAACTTGTCCCTCTCCCCTCCACTGACCACCAGCAAACACAGCAATCCTCAGGTCATAGGAATCTGGTAACATCATTCCCCTGCTCAGGCCTGTTCACTGGCTTCAACGCCTATCGTGGCCCAGGAGGCTGGGCCCTGCTCTTCGCTTTCTGGTTTACAGCACAACAAACTCCCCATTCTATTTTTCTCTCAGTCTCCTTACACAGGTAGGACCCTTATGTCTAGAAGCCTAACCTTCCGACCCCCCAGCCTCATGTGCCTTCCGACAACACTGACCACATCAGTCTTATCTGGTCCTGGGCGGCATTAGTAACCTCATCTCTCCTAAAGGTTTTGCGTCCACGGGCCAGGGTTGAGTTCTCACAAGGGCTGAGAGCCACTGCCAGAAAGTCTTGGGGCCACTGGGACTGTGCCAGAATCTTGAACCTGCTCAGGAAGTCTGTCTGGAGGATCTACAGCTTGTTGGCCTGTGGGTGGCCCTGGGCTGCTTTTCTGGAGTTCCGAAGGACAAGGGCCAGACCCGGCCACTCTGCTCGTGGTGGAAGCTCTTGAGCAATGGCGGGGCCCTGGGACCATCTCTATAACCAGGTTCTTGTGCTGCCACGTCTGCATCAACCCCAGGCAAGCCCTGCGACAGCTGGCTCCAGAGCACAGCCTTTCTTTCCTTCTTGAAGACTCTGACATCATTAGTCCACGAGAATGTTTAACCTCAGGGGGACACAGTGTCTCAACCAGTGAAAGAGAGATTTGTTTGTCTGGAAAAACATCAACACTAACCTGATCATGGTGTGAAGTGAAGCTTTAGCTTCTTTTAAATACAAACACAGAGATTAAGAATAGAAGGAATGAGACAGGTGGGCTGGTGAGCACACTAGAGCCCAAGGTGTGTGAGCAACGGGGGGCTGACCTGATGATGAAGGCGCCTCTCGTCTCCAGGAGTCTCTGCTCGCTGCTGAACCTCTTGAGAAGGTTGATCATGAACTTGTAGAAGTAGGAGTTCATGGTAGGGGTCGAAGGAGAATATTCCAAGCCTTTGGTACCTGTAGGGAAAGGGACATTTGAGAAGCAAGCTGGGCAGGAGGAGGAGGTACCAGCTCCTCGGAGCACCTAACAGGAGCGGTCAAACCATCCAGAGGGCTCTGCACTGGGCGGCACCAGAGGGGCATCAGCCCAACTCCATCAGATGCCCGTGGCCGGGCGGCAGCGCACCTCCTCCAGCTGAGCCCCGACCTCTCTTGTGCCCCCACTGAGTAGGGGGAGGTGGTGAGGCGCTTCCAAGGGGGTTTTCTGTTCTGTTTCCAGCTAAGGTCTCCTCAGCAGGAGCTGCATCTATGCAGCTGTGCCCTCGCCCCAGCAGGCGTGATCTTCCAGTGGGCACGTCTTGGGTGAGAAGTGCAGCCGCAGGGCAGGCCTCGGGCAACGTGGTGCTGTCTGGGGCGTGTTGCTCTGGGTTGCTGTCCAGGACAGGCTGGCCTGGGAGGTCCACAGTGACTCAGGAATGACAGTCACTGCCCCTGGCCCAGGGGTGCTGTTTGTAAAATCGAGTGTCACATTCTTACAGATTGAGTTACTCAGGGCCTAGCGGGGGCGGCTCTCTGAAGACGTGGCTGCAGATCCAGCCGCTGAGGTGTCTCTACTGTCCCTCACACAGGGTACAAAATCATCTGCGCAGGTGGGAGTCAGGCTAGGGCACCGGAGATGGGTGCGTCAGTCACTGCAGCGGGCCCTGGTGCTCAAGTGACAGCTGCCCACGTCCCTGTCCCCTTCCTTCTCTGGTCCATCCCTCCCTGGGGGACAACAGGCACGCTTCCATGGGGAGGTGGCACCTGTGGGCAGGCTGGTCAGGGAGCTGCAAGTTCCCGTCCCGCCCTGGGAGGAGGGGCCAGGAAAGGACAGGGACATAGACAGTGCGCACTCAGACAGGTGGGGGCCGCCTGAATCTCTTCCAGCCTCAGTCTCCCTCCTCACCCAACAGCTTCTTTACTGACCATCAGGCCCTGAGAAAAGACATCCTCCCACTTCCTCGGCAGGAAGCCCAGAGTGCTGGGGATCTGAGCGACCTGAGCCTCTGCACACCTGATGTGGGTACTGTGGGGACAGCCCCTCCTGTTGTTCTAACACCTCACCCCTGGGCTTCCTGTGGGCCAGGCCCTGTGCTAGGGGCAACACACATCGTCCATGGGTGCCACGGCCACCTCTTCTATCTGTGGAGGCAGAGTGTGGGGCTAGCGGGGACGCAGCGCTGGAGGAAGGGAGCTCATCAGCTGGTCAAGTCCGGGCCCACCCTCTATCACTGAGCCTGAGGGTCTGCAGGGGAGAGGGGGTGGAGGGCCCAACTCAGTGACTGCTCAGTGACAGCACCTGGAACCTTCGGACCACTGCAGACGGTGGGTGAGCTGGTCTGGCTCCGGCCTGGGAGCCAGGGAAGAGGATGGAGGATAAGTGGGCACAGGTCCTGGGAAAGCCCCTCCACTGGCCCCAGGGGACGAGGGATGGAGGATGAGGTGAGGGAGGGCAGTGCTGGCCGGCAGCTCCGGACGAGGCTGGACGTGGACACAGCAGTTACGGGCTGGCAGGCCGTGGGTCTCTCCTCGCTGGGCTCTGGCAGGAAGTTCCCGTGACCCGGCTTTTGGCCGAGGGGCAGCCAGCTCCTATCGGGAGGCCCTCTGTGCCCGGGGCCAGGCCAGTGGGTGGGGGAGTGGGCTACGGCGGTGGAGACCAGCTCAGCAGATGTTGTTAAGTGAAACCTGACGGGGTGACATGAGAACCCACAGAGCAGCTCACAAACAACCTCCCTGGGATGTTTTGGATCGAGCTTTGTGGCTATGACGTGAAGGAACCTCACATGTCAGGTTAAAAATAGCTCTGCCTCAACGCACAACTCAAGTCGCAACTCAACAAAACCAGATGGGAAAACGTTAGCTGGGGCCGACAAGGCCCTGCTCCGCTGCCTGCCTTCCGGCTGGGGAGGGTCATAGGCTAGCCAGGGCACAGACATGGGGCAGGGGCCTGGGACCCGCCTGGCTTCTCAAACGTGGCCAGCAAGGCCGTCCTGGGTTGAGGACGGCATCTGAGGCTGGTCCCCATCTGCAAAGGGCTGCAGGGGAGAGAGCTAGAGAGACACTGTGCTCTGTTGGAGGTTCACCCCGCAGAGGGAGTCTGGTGGGACAGAGCCAAGGTGTCAGGGCTGGGAGAGCAGCTTATCTCTGGACTCAAGGAAGAAGGGAAGAAGGGGAGGGCAGGGTCTGCGGAGTCTGCGACACATGAGCACTGAAGACATGGCACCTTTGGGATCTGAGCCACGAAGGAAGTTCTTATCCTAACTGCAAGCAGGTTCAGCTGAGGTCTCGGGACCTGCGCTCACCCGCGCTCAGCACCATCTCCTTGGCCCAGGCCTTCCAGCTGTGAGGTTCAGAGTGAGAAAGAAGCTAATGGAGCATGGGGGTGGGGGGGTGGGGGGGTGTTTCTGCCCCCATGATGCACAGCGTCTGTCACCAGGAAGGAGCTGTGGGCGTGAAGTGAGGGCTGGGCAGCCCTGGGAGGGCAGTGAGAGGAAGTGGCACATGCGCCCCAGTTCACGGGCGTGGATGGAGGTCCCCGCTGGTGGCAAGCGATGGCAAGCGATGGCCGATGGCCGGGAGCACAGCCAGGACGGGGGGCCCGGGAGCCTCAGAGGCATGCAGTGCTCGGGCGACTGGATGCGGGCCCCTCTTATCGATTTGACGAACTCTGAAAAGGAGGTGTCCACCCTCATGGGAGTCTGATGCTGGGCTCGGGCAGGTCCTCGCCCCTGGAGTGTGAGATGGGGCTTCCTACGTGCAGCACCGTGTGCAGTGCGGCTGACCTGCCACATTCTATACGCTCCTGACCATGTCAGCGCTGTCACCTGCACCCTGGACAGGGAGCGTCTGAGGCCACAGCCAGGAGGCGATCAGTGTGAAAGCGGGAGATCGACAAGAGGGATCTGGGCTGGACATCAGCACACACACATCACTTCATGGTGATGAGATGAAAGCAGTCCTGTGGACGCACAGAACCCCAACCTTCACGGTGGGGAGATGCAGGGGTATGCAGAGGTCAAAGGTGTTGGTGGGGAGGCAGGGATGGGCTGTGCGCCTGGGTCCCTCAGACCCCAAGTGCTGTCACCGTGTGGTCCTGGGGGGCGGGAAGAGGGCCTTCAAGGCGTAAAGAGAACGAGACACGGCTTTGGAGGGACAGAAAACAGTCTGGTGAGGCTGGAGGCCACCACAAGGCAGGAAAGGAAGATGGGAGGCCAGGATGGGGCTCTGAAAGGACTGCAGAGTTTGGGGTGCAGGCTGCACCCGAGAAAGCAAGCCCACTCAATGTCCCAGGGGTGTGAAGGGAGGAGGCTCTCAGGCTATCCCACACACAGGACCCCCTGAAGTTCACTGTGGCCTCATAAAGAACTGTGACCCTCAGCCTGCATGTCCAGAAGAGGGAAGTGTGGCCGCGTCACAGACACTGTGTTCATTTTAGAACAAACTCCTGTTCATCTGGTAGACCCTGCTGTTTGCAATGACTTCAGGGTGAATCCTGGCTGAAGTCTGCGATCCCTGGTCAGCTGGGAAAAGGATCCCTTCCCCACCGATCTGAGTGGGGCCAGGAGCCTGTTGAGGGAGCTCTGTCTATCCCAAGGGGCTTGTGACCTCGAGGCCTTGGCTGCATGAGAGGTCACAGGGCGTGATGACAGCACGCAAGGCTGTTCTAAGTGTCCCTTCCCGAGCTGTCCTCTGTCCCAGCTGTCCCATCCTGAGTCACCCTCGGTCCTCGAGCTGTCCCAAGCCACCCTTGGGGTCTTGGTGGACCAGCAGTCATTTCCCTGCACATCCTTCCACCACTGTGTACCCATTTCACAGCCACCTGTCTCTGTGTCTGAGAGAAAGGGATAAATCCCTCACAGACGGGCCAGATCAGGCTCTGGGGAGGATGAAGGCGTTGCGCCCTGTCCCTGGGCTGGGCGGTCTCAAAGGTTTTTGTCTGCCACCTGAGAGATGACAGCTGTCCTTGTGTGGGAGAACTGAGGACACTCAGAGGTCATCTTCCTAGACCCCGCCCTGCAGGTTGCCCTCTCGCAGCTGCCCCCACAGACCTCTCCCTTTTTGGATGCCACCCCTCATCTCTGGCATTCAGCTGCCCACCCAGGGCCTTCAGATTGACCAGAATGGCTGAGCTGGAGACAAGAGGTGGCAGACAGACCTGGGCTGTGGGGCAAAGGTAGGCACCCTCCATCCCCATCCCGAGCAGGGTCAGGCCACAGGATATGCAGATCACCTGGAGGAAAAGTGCACTGGCCCAGAACCAAATGCATCCAGGGTGCATGGGAAGAGGAAGCCGGGCTGTCTGGGCCTGACCATCCCTGAGCTGCAGTTACAGCCGGCTGGAGCATGGGGCTAGCTGTAGGACACACCTATTGCAAAGGTATCCTAAGGCCTGCGGGCCCTTGTGAAATCCCCTCAGAGGACCAGGGAACTTTCGTCCCGAGCGTCACTGCTGAGACATCTTCGATGCAGACGTCCTGAGACTTGCCCTGTCACTAGTGTGGCCTGCAGGGCCCGGTGTCTCCCTGGCCCGGTGTCTCCCTGTGCAGCTCCCTGGCCTGGGGTCTAGAGCCTGGATGAACTGGGCTGAGGGGCTCCCGAGACAAGGGTTTTGGGGCCAGGCACCCTCATAGATCATGTGGTGGGGCACTGGTAGAGGGCTTGGCTGCAAAGCTCCCTAACCTAGCTGATGCTTGGCCTAACTCACCAGAGAACAAGCTATCTGGGGACCTTCTGCCCAATGTCATGCACTGCTTGATGGACAGATACCCAAGAAGCCCCAGTGCTCTCCCTTCCAGCCCCACATTTCAGGGAGAGCAGACAGACACGTGTCAGGAGAAGGGGCTGGAACCGCTGGCTGAAGAAGATGAAGTCACCTGCTGGTCAGCTTCCTTTAAAGCCACAGGATGAGCCCAAGGACACATGGGGCCCCTCGTCCGAGGACTGCCCAGGACATCCAGTCTGAACTGTCCCATCCTTGCCTGGGCTGCCTGCCACGCTGGGAGCTGTTTTTAGCTGCTTGGGTGTGAAAGGAACTGGCCACCTAGCCTTCCTCCACCTGCAAGACCTGAGCCTCCAAAGGCCCAGTACTGACCAGGGGACACTGCCTTGTGTACCGAGAAGACCAGGAGGCTCCGATGGGCTTGGACGGGTTGAAGGCATCCTGTCCAGATGTGCAGGATGATGAGGAAGAAGGGCTCAGAGGGTCTCCCCCAGGAGCCGCTGGAGGCTGGGCCTCAAGGAGCAGGCAGAGCGTGTGCCGCAACCGATCAGGTAGGAAGCTCGGTGACCCCTCACTTTGTGCTGAGGTCAGGGCTCAAGAATGGCAGCCCAAGGACTGCCCCGCCCAGGACGGGAACCACAGAAACCAGAAGCGGCATTTCCAGGGGGGCTAAGCCAGTTCCTCTGGGGACACTCACCAGGAGCGTGCAGCGGGCCAGCTCTGCCTGAAGCGGGCACCTGGAGCTCCATGTGGCTCACCCGCAGGTCAGGGCCATCGAGCGGGCCAGGGTCGTCCGTCTGGCCCGCTGGGGAGGAAGCAATTTCTGCCAACACCTCCAGGTCCTTGAGGATAACCTGTGAGGAGAAGAGCAGAGGGTGAGGGGAGGGGACTTCCTGAGGGGGACAGCAGGGGTCTGGTACGGGCTGGACCACCAAGACCAAGCTATAGAAGAGCCGAGGGGAGCTGAACAAAGGGCGCTGATTGAAGAGAACATAAGCTGGGTGACCAAGGCAGGAAGCCAGTGCCTGAGGCCTGGCGAGGCACCTTCCTACAACCTTCTGAGGCTCCCATGGGCTAGCGCGGCAGGGAGTGGGTACCTCCAAAGTCCTGGGACACGAGGGACTCAGGCTCAGTGCCCGAGGGAGGGGGGTAGTCCTGATTCAACAGAGATGCGGCTGGGGGCAGCTGGCAGCCTCCACTTTGAGGTCCCTGTGCTGGGAGCCCCCTCTGCCCCTTTTCCTGTCCATTCCTTCACAGGGAGTCCACTAGGACGGTCTGTGTAGATGGACAGAGGTCCATGTGCTCCAAGGGGTGCAGGACAGTCAACCTTGTGGTCAGAGGCGGCCAGGGAGCCCACGAGGCGGCTGGGTCCAGGCTGCACAATGGACATGTGAGGGTCTGGCAGACGCCCGTTTCCTGGTCAGCAGCCTGGCCTACAAGAGGCCTGTCCACCTTCTAAGAGGCTCCAGGGCCAGGCTACTGAGGCCAGATGAGGAAGCTGCCCTGGCTCCTGGCCAGAAGTAACGCCCTGGCTTGTCAGCAGTCTCAGTCAGAGCGTGAAGACTGTGGCTCCCGATGTGTCAAGTCCAGGTCCATTCCCACATCGGAGCCGTTCCGACTGTCACTCTCACGCCTGCAAATCCTGACCCTGGACCGGCTAACCTCATCCACAACTCACAGCACGCCCAGCCTGTCCCGTCCACCACCTGGGCACCAATCCTGACCCTGGACCGGCTAACCTCCAGCCTGTCCTGTCCACCACCTGTGTGCCGGGAGCTGGGCTGACAGGGCCTCTCGGGGGAAGAGGATGGGGACAGTGATGACGCAGGGTGTGCACAGCGGGGACCTGCAACCTGGCCGCGGGGGCAGCAGCACACCTGTGCATGACCTTGTCAAGGCAGGCAGAGAGGGGCACCTGACCTGGCACGAGCCACTGGCGGGCAGGTGGACTAATGTGGCCCATTCCAGGAAACTGAGCCTTCTAGAAGAGCTTGAGGGAGGGACATGGGGAAGGGGTACGGCCAGAGGCGAGGAGCAGGGCTCAGGGGCGCCATGCCGAGGCTGAGCCCTGTCAGTGGACTGCACGGTGCACACCGAGTCCTCTGTCCCCGGACCCTTCGCTTTTCCCAAGTTCACGAAAGACTCACACTGGGATCTGTTTTTGCTGACTGAAAGAGATCCATGCAACTACAATCCCAGAGGTGCACGGTTCGAATCCACCAGATGCTCTGCCGGGGAAGGAGGGACAATCTCCTCCTGTACCAGTCAGATCTGATTTGACGGTACACGCACACAAAAATAATAAAATTAAAAAAAAAAAAAAGAAAAAGAAAGAGATCCAAGGAAATGAAACGAGCACTCAGCATTTGTTTTGCAGCCAGCTCGCACCCCCAGAGAGTGGGGTTCCCGTGCTTGTTCCCGGGGACCCACTCTCAGCATGCTGGCGTCGAGCCACCACAGCTCGGCGTGGTGTCTGTGGACTCTGCTATTTTAGGTGGTCTGTGTTACTTTAGTATGATCTCGTGCGTTATTTTTGGGGTCTGGGAATGCTCAGAAAATTTTCCCATAGGAAATAACAGTAATTGCCTCTTTACTCGACGCCACTGTTGCTTGCAGGTTTCACAGGAAGGCTCTACTTTGAGACAGCTCGTAGGGGATCCTGATCCTGAAAACGGAGATTCAATCTTGCAGGGCAGTTGGGGTAGTCACAGTGAACAGTGTGGACACTCCCGAGGACCCCCCCTACTGTGGGTGGCTTTGGCCTCTGCTGGGGCAGACAGTGGGGTGAGCACCCAGGGCCGTGGAGGACCCCTTCTCCACACCTATCCCTCCAGTCGGCCTCCTCTCACCTCTCTTTACCCTGCTGGAGAGCTCATTCAGAAAAGCTGCAGATTTCACATTTTTATTCTCTTATTTTAGAAAGTTTTTAACACCAAATGGCAAATGAATGCAAATGATACTTCAATTGCACAATTGAAGCCGGAAATGCTGTCTACAGGTTTCCTTCCCTGATCCCAGCCACTCCTCTCCGCTTACAAATCAAAAGATTTGTCTCTGGTCCTGGGAGCTGGCAGAGAGCCCACAGCCCTGCCCTGGGCGACACTATGTATGCCTGTTCACACACAGCCCCTCCTGTCCCCTCCAGCAGGGAGTCAGGACAGGCTGGCCTCCTCCAGCCACACACCTCCCCCCATGGAGGGCTGGGAATGGCTGGAGGTGAGGACCTGGAGCCAGGGCCAGCCAATCAGGGGTCCCAGGTGGCTGTGACATCCCAGGGAGCCCAGCCCACCAGCAAACTCGCCTTGGCCTAGGGGCAGAGCCAGCAGGCTGAACCAGTTAGAGGCTCTGGAGGCACAACCCTGTTACAGGGCGGCTGCCAAGCCAGCGGGGGCCTGGGAGTGCTGAAATGCCATCCTCCTGGCTGGGCCTGGCCTTGCACTCTCTGTCCTCAGGCTAGAGTTATGGTGTCCCACCCAGCTGGCACCCCTGGGAGGTGGGACAAGGTGGCCCTGGCTGTCGAAGCGCTGGGTGTGCACCCCACCCTGCCATCCCGGCTTCCTTTGGCCTCTGGACCAGCCGATCCCCTGGCGTCCACCACACTGGCCAGCAGCCCTGGCTCTGTGAACAGGCGAGGCTCAGAGGAAGTGGGAGGAAGCTACTCTATTAGTATGCACTGCACAGGCTTTTGCAAAATGAATATAAAACACTTGTGCTTTCTTTTTGTGTGAGAGAGAAGGGGGAAAGAGCGGGAGGGAGGGAGGTTATAAGAAAGCAATATTCTGCAGGGAGAGGCATGAGGAGGAGAAGTGCCCGCTGTTGCCATGGCAGTGGGCTGGGGGTGGGGTGGGGAAGGCCATCAGCTGGCCCTGGACATGGTGAGAGCTGGCCATCGGTGGAGGGTAAGGGTCGGAAGCTGCCGGGCATGGAAAACATCTAATGAACCAACTCTGGGGCAAGCTTCCCTCACGGCCTGGCTGTCACAGACGGGGACGCCTGGGGCGAGGGGTTCCTGAGGGAGGCCTGCTTCCCATGGCAACTTCCCCAGCACGGGCCGGCTTCCGAGACGGGGACTCAGAGAGTCAGGGGTGGGGGGAAATCACATGGGCTGTCAGTCCCCTTCAATCCTTATGGCCAAGGCCACATCTCTAGGGGCTGCCTGCCTCTTTTACTGGCCTCCCACCTCTTGCCAAAAGAAAGGGCCTTGAACCTGGTACTCCAACCCACACCACTGGCAGCTCCTGGGCCTGGAAGGAGCTGGAGATTGAGCCAGCTCAGTGGTGTCATGTCACCTCCTTCCAAGCTCTTGAGTGTGATGTTGCAGAGAGGCACTGGAAGACGCGGTAAGTACCGCTCACGGACAGCAGCAGGCAGGAAGTGGAGGGAGGAGGCTGTGACTGCTCTGCTGAGGGGCCTACAGAGGGGCCTCCAACCACCCAACGATCTTTAAGAACTTTTGCTCCAGGTTTTGGCTGGCTGGTCAGGCCCTGGATGTCACAGCTCAGGCTCCCAGCCTCAGGAAAAAGGCACCCACCTCATGCGGCAAATAAACTGGCAAACAGTGCCCAGCTGGGCCCTCAGAGGTTCCTGGAGGGGGGACACACATGCTGTGTTGGCTGGTGGGGTGAACCCAGACTGACAGCCAGGAGGTCTGGTTGGTGCAGGTCACTGCCAAGGGCCATCTGACAACCTTGCCTGGAGTAGGCAGGTGCAAGGTCATGGCCTTGGCCAAGACCTGGGTCAGGCCAGCTGCTTGTGACATGAAGCTACCTGAAGTGTGGACACCACACCAAAACATCCAAGGGACCTCGGGTCCCCACTGCACGTCCTTCGATCCTGAGAAATACAGCATGTGGAGAAGTGGGCCCTCAGGCCCCTGGCTGAGTGCAGAGCAGCCCGGCCGCCTAGGACTGGGGAACCCACAGGGAACTGCTCCTCAGTCCAGGAGGGGGCCCTGCAGGGCTAAGGGAAGGCAGCAGGGGCTCACACAAGCCCCAGAGACCTCCGGACACAGCATGGACACGCTACGGGGGCAACGCTCTACTTACTCACCCAAGAGGTATAATATCAATCTACACCAGGTCAGTGCTCCATCCACACCGGGTCACGTCTCTGCTTTGTAAATCAAACACCTCTGTCAAGTGCTGGGTTACAGACTCCCTGCTAGACCAGGCCACGACATTCATTTACATGGGGTCACGTCTCCCCCTTTTCTATGGGATCAAATATCTCCGTCAAATGCTGGATCACAGACCCCCTGCAAGACCACATCATGCCACCCACTTACACAGGGTCATGTTCCCCCATCTACACCAGGTCACATGCTCGCGCCCCCCAAGTCCATACCAGGTCACACCCCTTTTCTCAGCACACCTGGGACAAGGGAGGAAAGGAGGTGAGCGGAGAGCACGGTTCCTCTGGGGGCAGGGAAACGCCAGCTGAGGTGCAGACCTGCTCTTCCCACTGAGGGAAAAGCACCCTGATTAGAAACCTTTTACTTCTTGAGAAAGCTAAACAAATTAGCAAAACAGAAATGGACTATAGCTCCGTCTGTGTGGCCTGACTTTGAACGTGGGCCCTTAGGGAGCAGGGCTGCTTGCCTTTCTTTCTTTAAAAACAGTTTTCTGAGTCCTGGGCCTGCACCCAGACGGGAGGTTCATTCACGCTCGCTCATGCTCCCGGCAGTCACCCCTGCAGGAGGAGAGCACGGGGCCGCCTCGTGGAGGCGCCACTGAGACCAGATGTCCACCCCGTGCAGGGCCTCCTTCCTGCTGACTCAAGCCACTGCTCCCTTGCATCACCCTCAGGGCGATAAAATTCTCTGTGAGCTGGGCCAGCGGCAGCAGGAGGGCTGTGT